CTGTCCTCGTTGCCGGCAACATCTTGACAAGCAGAAGTGGTGGATCATAAACATACTCGTCATGATGAGCGACATCACAAAAATGAGCTCCATCAACCACATGATGAAGATGTGAGGATCATGAACGTCGGGAGGATCATCGTCATAACGATTCCTACATCGTCACCACTTGGACCAAGTCATCGCCATGATCCTGACCGTTATGATGAGAATGACCCTGTAGGTGCCCATAGTTTCGGGGTTCTAGTTTCATCATCGTCGGGAGGGGGGTAGGTACCGAGTCTGAATCTCTTAACGTGGTTTTGTCCGGAATTGGAGGCACCCCGTCTTTCTTGCTTCAGAGCGACTCGTCTCACAGTCTACAGGGCTGTTGAGGTTGTACCTCAGCAGCACCCTTTCTTGAAGCGTCTGCTTATGAGGATCGACAAAGCCATAGCCGAGGGTCTAGAATGCAGGCTGTAGGATTTTAGAATTCCGATGATTATTAAGGAAATTATGGGAATTCTTTAAATCCTCATCAAAACAAGTGGGATACTTCTTAAATCCGTGTTCAGACGATTAAGACCCCATGTTAATCCTTACTAAGGGAACTAGGATCTTGCCTCTGTCAACCCCTAATTCAGGAATGAGGATCTTTTCTCAAATCCTCATGAAGGGAATGCAAGCTCATTAAGGGGAAGGGTTCCTCGGGTTCTCGCGGTTCATTTCCCTAAACCCTAAACCCTGAACCCGACTGTGGATGTTGAACCAGGGCAGGGTCCGGGGATACTGTTGACGATATAAATCCTGCATGACCTTAAGGACCCTAAATTATGGGAATTATGGCATATTCGTTCTAATTCTGGGTAATGCAGGATTCATATCATCAACCGTAGGGAGTACCTTAACCTACAAGGACCGACTCTGTAGGGTCCCTATAAGTTCCATATTCGGGCTTATAATCCGAACCCACAGAAAAGTGGGTTTTGGTAGGTTAACACTTAAGGCAGAGGATGCTCAGGAGTTCCTCGCTGAAGAGAACCAGCCCGCTACAAACCACAAACCCTAAGCTTAGCGCTCCGGAACTTCCGGAAAAGACAGAAACCCGATGCACAAAGGAGCCCCTAAAATAGTATAGGCAACTACTAAGGCCCTTATATTATAGTACCCTTATAGTAGGGCTCCTATTCCGTATAGGTAGTTGTCAAAATTTATGGCCCCTTTTCGGGTACCCGAAATATTAGGGGCCGTGTTATCATAAAGGTCCAATTCGGGACCATAATTTTGACAAATACCCAAGTAGAAAGCCATTTTGGGCCCCAGATGCTGACACGGCTTCCTCACACCTTGGCGGTCTGGTGCATGGAGGCTAGAACTTCAGAACGCGGGATCTTCGAGGGCTCAAAGGTGGGAACGAAGAGCTTACGGCCCAAATTGGTGGACCTCCTTGATACTGTTATGTCAATGTCAGCTGCCGGAAGCAGTCACGGAGAATTTACGCGCGGGTCCTCGACACACTTAGAAAAAGTCAGGGAGCTTAGGCAGCTTCGCACGCCCGTATTGGAAACTAAGAAGAGCCTGGACCACTGTATTGACGGCCACTAAAGGTAGGAGCGATACTGATACTGACGCAGCAGCCCTTTGGAGCTTCATGGGTAGTTATAGGTGGGGTTGAAGTAGGGTAACTGGGGACTTATATATAACCTCTCTTGTAACTAACCATGAACCTCCACGTAGGGTTGAATAGCTAATTGAGGGTCTGAGGCGCAATTGCCCAAGGATATTCTACGCTTCAGGCTTCATCCGGGGCTTAGGATCTTTGGGTGGAGGCTCAGGGGTATGAAGGTTGAAGGGTGCATACCAAGCCTAGATAAGGGTGTACTATGCAGGATTAACTCATCAGAGGCCGAGGGCTCTAATCTTGAAGGGTTTCACGTCAGGGGCCTATGTGTTGAGGTCTTGGCTAGGGGATGCTGAAGGAACATTGCAATTGCATATCAGTGGTTGGGTTTCGGATTACTAGGTTGGGGGCGGTTTTTAGACGGGTTCATCAGGGTTCAAGAAAATATGCGGGTGTAGGGTTGAACGCAACAGAGGCTACTTGGAGATAACCGTGGTCTGAGTTGGACTCACGGCAAAACCTTTTACAAAATGTCCGGGGTTCTTTTATGATTTAGGATGTGAGGCTACCCGACCACCAGCACACGAAGTGTTAACACTTGCCGGCCCAAACTCAATTTGAAGATTCGGGGAAGGGGTGAGGCGGTTGGCTTTCTGGTAGCAGCATGAGAAGAAAGCTTTGAAGAGTCAGCATCTGTCTTTTTCGGCCCGTTTGGCAATGAACTGTCTTTAGTCTCTATGGTTCAGGTCTTAGTGCACCCCACATCAGCCATGTTGCGGAGGTCATCCACGGCCTTGGCGCATTTGGCGCCCTGTTCGGTGCAGAACTCATTGCAACTCTTCCTTGTCCGGGCACAGATAGGAGGAGGGACATGCAAGGTCCGGGAGTTGCTGCAAGTTCACGCGTCGAAACTGAAGGGGCGTCCTTGTTTGACTGGAAATATTTCACACGGACCAGGATGAACTAGAGAGGGCCAAGGTTGCTCATCACAATATAAATTACACCGCCTCCTGCATTATGCAGCGAATGTAGTGCCTGATGCCTCGGGCCTGAATGCCAACGGGAAACACCACGCTGCACCTTCGTAGGTTTGTCGGCACCTGGTTCTTCCTGTTCCCCGGATGTCAGGAAAGGATGGTTTCAGATTCCAGGAAGTCAGCTCGAAACATTTTAATCCTCACGGCCCTCTTCGCCCCACGCTTGTCAACCACAAGCCCAAAGCCACACCCTAGCCTGCTGGAACCTTCTTGACCTTACATGTTCCTCAAGTTGCTACAGGACCACTACTGATCACTACTGCCTTTACGAGGATCCTCTGAAGAGCAAGTGCATTGCGAAGATCCCAGTTCAGGGCTACAGCAAAGCCAGAAAGACTTCACTCTCTGTGCGGACCCAGGCTCTTGTTCTCCATGACGCTGTACACCACGCAGTGGGAGCCTCGGCTTAGGCTTCGGATGCTTCAAAGCCACACGCTATGGACTTACGAGGAATTGCTCCTGCACTGCGCTTGACGTGCGCTGCGGCTTTGCAAGTTCGGATTTGGGTGGGAAGCGTTGGTCAGAGACATCTGCCAGATTGCCATAAGCTCGAAAACTCTGGGTTGGCCACTTTTTGCGGACACATGTTCGCCAACTCGCCATCAGTACTGACAGCTAGAATCAAGCTCGCATGGCATAACTCACTGTACCTACTTTCTTGGTTGGTAAACACAAAACTAATCATCATAAAGCCATGCACGACTTGTCAACCTGAAATTCCTTTGCTTCGAACACCTCCCACACATCTATGACGCTCTTGCAAGTGGTTGCTATAAAACCCCATGAAACCATGTAAACCTTTATCAGGGCTTGTGCTATAGCCAAAAGCCGACAACGGGCTCTGGTATCGAAGTTCGCGCTTTCCCGATAACGGAGGAAAACAACGCACTAAACCCTGAAACCCCAGCACTAAAGCCAAACCTTCTTGCTCGCTGGTTGGCTTGGGTCAAGATCTCCAAGGACTTGAGCTGTCGGCTCGCAAATCTGTGCCTTCTCTGGCAGAGGCTTGAGGGTCTTGCCTCAGCAGAACGCACAGTGATAGTCTTTCGCCTGGGGCCTCAGTGGAGTGTAGCCTTCCTACATTAAACCCTTCAAGCCCTGGACCCTTAAGCCTCTATCAGCCCCTCAAGGCGGCGGCAGTGCTCAGGCATGTCGGCCGCCATGGCCACGCCGGCGCAAGCAAGCCTCTCGTGGTCTTTGTTTAGGGTTGCGCGTCTGGGCGTCTGAGGTTTAGGTTAGGATCCAAGTGCTAGCGATATCCAGAAAATGTGGCTTGAAGACTCCCCCTTAGTTTGGGCTAAGATACTGTCCTGGATGTAGGGGGTGTTGGTCGCGCGAAGGCTTGTCTGGCATAGGTGGGTTGCAGCAGAAGGATTATGTTGCTTCATGTCAGGATTGCTGTAAGACCGGCAGTGAAGCGGTGGGCGAATTGATAAGTCAAAGTCCATGCTGTTTGCTGTTGTGCGCAAGACCAAAAGGTGGCAACCCACCATGAACGTTCATCTTGCACCCATTGCATCCTCAGGCTCTGACTTAGGCATCACAGGAGACCTATCAGCACCCAACAATGCCCAAGACCTACTGCCGCACTGCGGCCCTACCCGACGCCCATACACCCTCGCATCCTTTAACTGCAAGCAGAGTATGCAGCCAAGCGGCAAGATCTTGGAGAAGGTCATGTTCGGTTCGGTTGGCTGTGCTTCTTTTGGGATGTGTTGAAAACTTGGAGGCGGCGACGGCGGCAGGAAGAGCGTGCACAGGACAACACACTGAGCAATGCAACTCCACCAAGCCCCAAGAGGCCCTAGACGAAGACCCCAGGAAGCACACACCCTCTCACTGGTCCCATGCCATGGATGCTAGGGGCTCAAGATCTAGGACTCTGTGGGTCAGGAGGTAATTATTTAAAGGCGACACGCAACTCTGGACCTTACTCGCACAAGCTTCCGAGATCACGAAAGCACGACTGCGTACATGATATCTCACAGCTAAGAGACCACCCCAAACCTGTGACCCCTAAAGCCCGCATAATTTCGAGAGCAGCCGAGACACAGCTTTAAGAGCTCGAGCCTTTGAAAGTGCTGAAAAACTCTAAAGACTAAGCCCAAAACTCAAAGACAGAAGCATCCCCACCCCAGGAGCCTGAGGTTGCAGCTCGGAAACCCCAAGCCGCTGGAACAGGGGGAACGAGACGACTACATACTCCAGCTTCTCACCCTGAAGTTCAAGAGTAAGCCCTTTTGGAAAGACTGCAACTAGGCCACCAATTTCGCAGGAACCCTCTCAACCCTCAAACATGAACACTAAACCCTGAACCCTGAACTGAAGCCTCTGAAGGTTTGAGCTCCTTTCAGCAAAGCTTCCTTGGGCATGCGCCGGTGAGCCCTCCATCTCCTGCAATCTGCTTTAGGGTTTAAGGGGTTTGGGGCTCGTGTAGGGTTTGGGGCTTGGGGCTTAGAATTTATAGGGGGCTTATGGGGCTTAGGGCTCCATCTCCTGCATCTGCTTTGCACTGCAAGACGGCTTTCGGAACTCTGTAATACTGGGGCCTTTTCAGATCATTAGCAGGGTAAGGTTCCGTAGAGGCTGTAATCGGTTTATGATAGCGTTTCGGATTTAGGGCCTTGATAATTCGAACAGACTGTTCGGGCAGTATGCAAAACCCCCACACGAACCGAGGAGCACTTGTTTACTATGCTTACTTACCATTATTATTGTCATTCGAAGCCAGGTGGCGACGTGTTCTCAGCATCGTCAAAGCGAGAGCGGCGCTGGCGAGCGCGGGCCAGAAGCTCCAGGTAGCTGGCCTGCGGATGGAGGTTGCGCCCTGGCGGCTTTTTTTGGTGGGTTTGAAGCTTAAGGCTTAGGGTTTATAGCCGCGAAAGCCCAAGACAAACGCAAAAGAGAACACGAGAATGTCTGCGCTGAAATCTGCAACACTGAATGTCCGAAGCCACGGAACGAGCGTGTCGCACAAGACAGACGCCTCGTCCTCGTCCTCAGGCGGCTCACTCTCGCCGGCCTCTGCAGATTGACTCACATTGGGAATGAAGGTGGACATGAGTACAGGATGCTATGTAAGAGACATTGCCGAGAGTAAACCGGTCAGGGACATCATTCAACCCCAGACTTCTTGCAAGCGGCTACCTGTATGGACAGAGACAGGTAATGTGCAGAGATGAACTCTGAACCGAGAATAGGAATTAAGGTTAGGGGTTTTGGGGCCCATTATACTGTAACTATAACAAGGAACCTCAAAATAGTACGGCATAGGTAAGTACTTAGGCTCCTATAGTATGAGTCCGGCCGCACCCACAGCGACATGCCCTTCTGAGAACGTGGGCACCCCAAGTCTCTAGACCTCAGAACCCTAAACCTCAAAGCCCAAACTCCCCCACTCCCTGAACCTGCAGAGAGTTGAACCATGAATCCCGAAACCCTAAACCCTAAACCCCAAACCCAAAGCTCCCCAAGACCCTCCCTGCAGTCTGCGCCTGTCGAAGCTGCGAAGAGGAAGCCGAGGATGGCAGGTCCTCGGAATTTCTTCAAAGGGCTCCAACTTGGAAGTTCATGGGTAGTTAGAAGTAGGTTTATGAGTAAGGTAACTGTACATATAACCCATATTAAAGGACTTATAACCCCACTTATAACTACCCATGACCCTCCAAGAAGAGTTCCCTAAAGGGCTCCGAAAGAGCTCCTCAACGACAAGGATACTTGCTCTGAGGAGCCCTAAATACGATATTCACCAAGTTTTCTGAAACCACCATCTTATGCGATAAGGTCTGAGCTGCAGCAAGACCACCTACCCCCTAAAGCCCAAAGCCAGAACCCTCACCTGCTGAGCTGCTGGTGGCTGAGACCCCACTAGACCCTGAACCCCCTAGGTCCTAAACCCCTAAACTTACCTTTGGTTAGTAGGGAATGGAAGAATGGTAGTGATAGTAGTTATAATGGTACCCCATTCCTCCATTCCCTGCTAACCAAAGGTAAGTAAACCCCCAAAACCTGAAACACCCCCAAGAAAAGCTCCGATTTCCCCCCAAAATCGCCTTGAGGGTGCCGCTAGCCTTTCGAAACTCAGCCTTGCCAGGGGCACCGGCGCTGGGGGTTCAGGGCTTATGGTTTAGGATTTTGGGTTTAGGGTTCAGGGCGCAGGGTTTATAGTGGTTTACGGAAGTTGAGGGCTTAGGGATTTAGAGCTCAAGGTCCAGATTCAGGGTTCAAAGGATTTAGGTGTAGGTTCCAGGCCTCCGTTTGCAAAATACAAGGGATTGGTAGGGCTGGATAACCCATTTGGAAGCTTGTGCAAGGGTTCAGCTGTTATAGGGTCGTTTCATGGATTTAGGGCTTAGCAGGCCTAGTAAAATGGGATTCGGGGTGTGGGGTTCAGGGCGCTGCATTCGAGACTCGGGCTTGGATTTCGGGGTGCCTGCCCTTTGGCGTTCCGGCGAATTTGGACGCCGAGCCAAATATGTGCGAGCTTCAGAAAATAAGCAGGTGGCCGAACAGAAGCTCAAATTCCCAGGATCCTCATTCTAAGGACACCTAAACCGGGCTTTGGATGGGAAGGCTTCATAGTGCTTCCAGGGCTTATGCGTGCGAACTACAGGTGTATAGGGCTGAAAGGGTTGAGGACTGACGTGGCTTTTATTTCTCAAAGGGCTTGGGGATTACAGGCCTCAGAGAGCTCAGTGCTTGGAGGCTTTGAACGGCTTGTTGCGAAGGTTCGAAGCCGATTTTGAACAGAAAAAGCATCCAAAAACTTCTCAAGCTCGAAGCTTTCGGCACTCGAAAACCGGCCTTGGGAGACAAGCTCTGTGACCGAGGCACCTCCGCCTCGCACAGAGTCAGTCAAGTGTAGGGTTGAGACTTAAAATCTCTTGCCATGATCATAACTGCAAGCCGTACTCTTGGAGGGCAGTGGGTTCTTGTTAAGGGGTTTAACTTAAGTTAGCATAATAGGGATCTATTAGGGTTCCGTTCCAGGGTTCTATAAGGGTTGGGTTCAGAAGTTTAGTTAGTCGGGCAACAAGGACGCGAAACCAGCCATGGTTCAAGTGAGCAGCATGGCACGAAACTCACACCTACGCGGAAGCAGGCATTTCGGAATCCCCTTGAATCCCAAACTCTATCTGCCTGAATAGTAAATGTCAGAACATGAGCTCCATTCTTTTGACGCATACACCCTATAGCTTTCGTCATGTAGTATACAGCCTATTGATCTTGTGGACAACTTTCACCGTGAGCACGCCTTCCGAGGCTGAACAACCACAGTTCGCGTCTGCGTAGGCGAAGAGGGCGATGCCAAAAACCCTGACTCCTTGGAATCCAAGCTTTAATCTTCAAGACTCCGGATTTGGACGGATTTGGGGTTTCGGGTTCATTTGAGCTCTGGGCTTGAGTTTGGGAAGTCAAGCAAGTGGACAACAGGTCTTTCGAGTCCCGCGCATGCTCCTGCGATGGCATGATTCGTGAAAGTTGAGGCTGCCGAATTTCCGTCCGCCGCAGCTAAGCATGCCACTTTAAAAACAAGACTGCTTTGGGGAGTGGGTGTGAGATATATTACAAGACTTGTGTGTTGAACGAAATTCAACATGGGCGCGGATCGATCTTGCAGCACCTGCTGTTGCGCCCACAAGATGGCCGGCCCTTACGCTGGCGTGAATCTGGCGTCCACTGGCACATTACCCTGACGGCGCATAAGCTTCACACGTAGCGCCCTCGAGACAGCAACCATATTAGTAACAAACATGATGGTCGCAAGACTGAAAATACAGGTGGTGGTAGTAGTAGTAGTAGTAGCAGCAGCAGTAGTAGTAGTAGTAATAATAGTAGTACCAGCAGGAGTAGTAGTAGTAGTTGTTGTTGTAGTAGTAGTAGTAGTAGTAGTAGTAACAGCAGAAGTAGCAGTAGTAGTGGTAGTAGTAGTAGTAGTGGTAGCAGTGGTAGCAGTGGTAGTAGTAGTAGTAGTAGTAGTAGTAGTAGTAGTAGTTGTTGTAGTTGTTGTTGTGGTGGTGGTGGTGGTGGGTAGTGGTGGGTGGTGGTAGTAGTGGTAGCAGTGGTAGTAGTGGTGGTCGTAGTAGTAGTAGCAGTAGTACTAGTAGTAGTGAGAACGATACAATAGCCAAAATGAAGCATCAGACCTCGTTCACATGAGCAAGGAGAGCCCCTTCCGCAAGGCTACGGCTCTCCACATAGTGATATCGCATAATGGCGTAGATAGAAAAAGGTGTAATATTGCATGTAGTAAAATATGGGACATATAGTATAACGACATGTAAAAATCAGCGGAATACAGTATAAGTATAAGATAGTACAATTTAGTATAATGTAGTATAATATATTTTAATCTAGTACAATATGGTAAGGCACATTATAGAATAATAAGATAAAGTATGATAAAGTCGAACATAGTAAAATGTGGTGAAATATATAACAATATACTATAATGTAATGTAAATGTCGTACAATAAATGGCAGAATACAGAACAATGTAGTATAATCTGATGTAAAATACAGTAAAGCATAGAAAACGTAAAACAATACAGTACGACATAGTACATAGTATATTTACTAATAGTATACGACACTATGTTATAGTGTCGTATAGCATAAAACAATATGATACCACATAATATGCTAAATTTAGCATAGCACAATATGATATAGTATAATAAAGTATAATACAACATAGTATAGGAAAATACAGCATAACATCATGTAATATAGTATTCCATAGCCTGGTCTAATATTGTTCAATATGGTACAATATAATGTAAGATAATATAAAAATGTAGCATATACTATAATACCGTATAATAAAGTACAATATAGGATAACATAGTATAGTATAGCATAGCATAGCATATGTGTGTATATAAAACATAACACAAGATAATATGATCTGATGCTCGAGCTTCGGCATGCGAGTTCTAGCAGACTTACGCGCAAGCCTCGACGTGCCTCTGCAGACCTGACCAGTTTAAAGGCTTAGGGTTGAAAGAGCTTTTGGGGGCTAGGGTTGCGGGGATCATCCAATTCGGTTGAGTCTGGCGGCTCCGACATCTTGCAGCGTCAGGTGCTCTTTCCAGATGTCTGCACGCGAGTCCTGTGAATCGGGCGTTGGATGTAGATCATACAACAGGTTGTCGACGACGACAGCTACGACGCTACGAATAGGACGAGAACACCCGATGACCTCGACCAGGAAGAACATGACAAAGAAGTACATGCAAGGAATAAGAAGCGAATTCGCCGGCGGCATCGAATCAACAACGATTGGATGCTCCTGACGACGAGACCAGGACCACGACCGAATACCGGCCCTAAACCTGAATGCCTGAAACCCAAAATGGCAAACCCTAGACTCTGAACTCTTTTGTATATAAGTCTCGCACCTCTAAGAAACAAGTCCCCTTGCCCAGCTGAAGCCCTATGCCCCAGTAGCTGCAGGCCAGTGCCCCGGAAGCATTTAAGGCTTCAGCACAGTTCAGGTTCCGACATAGGGCCTTGATTACATAACATGGCGGATACTCTACTAGAATTAGAATGTTGATAGGGACAAGGGAATCATATTGGTAAGGCTTTCACTGTTCATCTGAGGACCATAAGGATGGACAGAGCACGGTGGCATCATTCTTCCAGCGAGTCGCGCCGTGGGAACCATCGTCGTCGGGGCCTGTGCCCGATCTCTCCTCCAGAGCCTTCGTAACTCGGCCCTTTCAAACCGAGACGTTGTATACCGACATCTGCGGGCCACTTCTGGGCCGCACCCGCGAAGCTCTTCCCTCGCACTTCTGTTGCGATTTGAAAGCCTACATGACTGGAACTGAACTACGTAAGCTTCCTTCATCCATGTCTGCTTCTAATGCCGCTTGCTCTGAGTCTGGTTGATACTGGTGGGGATGAACCTTGAAATGCGAGGAAAGGACTTTTCAAAACTGGATCATACGCGTCTTGGGGCTCACAGCTCCTTGTGGCTCCCGTTCTTCTCGATCTGCATGAAATGCACGGTGTCCGATGAGCCGTCCTGAACAAGGTTAGTGCTCGGCTGTGGGTAGCCTGAGTAGCCTTTCTTCCAGGACCACCACTTCTTCTTCCAACGGCCGTAGTAACTCGGTTCCGGCTCTTCTGTGGTCGTTGCTTCCGGTGTTGCCGTGGTCGTGGTGGGTGGCTGGGTGATAGGCCCCACCTTCACCATGTCTCCATAAGAAGTCAATGCAAGAGGGCCGAGCAAACGTCGCATGCCTTGGTAGCGTGCTTTGAAGCTGTGCAAGCACTTGCTGTTGTCCCAGGAAATGAAGCGCTTGGCGATTGCTTCCACCTCCTTGACAACCTTCTGGTCGTCAGAGACGTCCTTGAAGATCAGCTTGCCCAAGCTGCCGCCATCCGGGGCGGACTCAAGGTAGGCGACCGCGGCCGTCCCCGGAACCTTGCTGTTCACCCAGGTGTTAATGTGATCCGAATGCTCTTGCACATCGCCACTCTTGCGGGAGACTGGGACGGAAGACTTGGAGGCCTCCAGCTGTGCTGCCTCCTTGCCAGTCATGGTTTCCCGAAGCCGCTTCTCCAGAGCCGCGTGGCCGGCAACTTCGAGAATAAGCTTACCCACAGGCTCCAGCACTTCCACAGCACTGGAGACCTGCGCCTCCTGCTCCTTTGACCTCAGCTCCGATTTGAGGCGCTGTGCGAGCATTGGCGCCTCTTGGCGCACGCGCTCCGACCCACTCCTCTGCGCCTCGAGGTCTGTGATCACAGCCTGTGCTTCAGCATCGGAAAGGAAGTTGTCGATGACCTTGATGGAAGACAAGCACGTCACATCCGGACTCGCAAGGGTCTGTGCGAGCAGAAGTGGCACCAAGAGCCAGGATGCAGCCATGTGTGAAGCCAACGCGAGGATTCCGAATAAAGCTTCTCAATGTCGGTCGAGCCGTAATGGCTTTGACTGTCAGTCTTGAGAACCATGTTAACGACCTTCAGACTTCTGAGCCTCAACCTTGGTTCCTTGGATCTTGAAGTACACAACCCTAAACCCGAAGCCCCGACAACAGTACTGACGGTAGGCCTTCTTCTCGTTCAGCTGCCTCTGGAGATCTGTGCGGATCGAGTCGCGAAGGCCTGGAAAGCTCGAAACTCCAAGTGCTATAAGGGTTTAGGGTTTAGGGTTGAGAGGTTTAGGGTTTAGGGTTCAGGGTATAGGCTCTGAACCCGCCATCCGGATACAAAACTTCGGGTTTCGGGGAGAGGACTTCAACAAATCTCAGGAATTTGTGAGCGTTTTTGGCTTTAAGGCTTTAAGGGTTTAGGAATTGGCCCCATGCGGGCATGAGGGCATGAGGACTTCAGTCTTACGGCAGTGGGAGCTCTGGCATTTTGAGCGCCGGGGCAAGGTCAGAAGAAGTACACGCTAGAAACGAAATGTGCAAATAACAGACTTTTATTATACACCCACATGTATGTCGCTGTGTGCATACATACATACATACATACATACATATATATATATATATATATATAATCGCTGCCTTTTCGGCGAATGTCTATCCGACGGCTGTGGAAGCTGTGCTTCACTTTTGCGCTTGGGAGGCTCGGTTTGAGGCTTCCGGCTCTGGGGTTTGAACGTTGCGGGTCTCTGGGTCAACGTTTGGAGTTTCTCTTTGGAGGTTCATGGGTAGACATAAGTAGGGTTATAAGTCCCCTAATATGGGGTATAACTATGTTAAAAGGTCGAAGCTGGCAGGATTTGAGGACATGGATCGCGGGCTTGAGGCCGTTGGATTTTGGATGAGTTATGGCTTGGGGTTGCTGGGGCTTCGGGTCCCTGGGTGAAGTTGGCGTTCTGCAGTTTGTTGCGGAATTTGCATGTCAAGATGGGAGATTCAGTATAGACATCCTACTTCAATGCGGATAGCTCCAGCTCCATTCTAAAGAATCTACGGAACTCAGGGTGCGGGCTGAAATGCTGACTTTCGACATCGAAGGAAAAATCCAACTCTGAAACATGCCGACACTACGCTCAGAAGCCCTCTCAGCGAAGGAAACCTAAACCCTCAACCCTAGACCATAAGCAAGCAAATTAGCACCGCATTCTTGGAAGCTCATTGTAGCATTTTGGACCATACCGGGCAACAGCAATATAGGGGACTTAATAATAATTAGAGTAGGGTTTTGGGGCCCATTATACTACAATTAAAATAAGGAACCCCCAAAATAGTATTGGTAATTATTTAGGCCATTTTAGGCCCTATAGTACACAAGAGCCGGTGTAAAGAAGCAGCTGGAGGCGGTAATGCTTTTATTGCTGGAACATCCTTCGCCATCTGAAGCAAGACATCTAGCATGTGGTTCAACACCTGACCTCGACAACAACCCATCGACTCCCAATGCCAACATTCCTCAAGTATGAAAACCACAGGATTTCTTGATAGGGTACGGGATTGGGGGCGCCTTATTATGAATCCTTATAAGCAGGATCCTACTATTTAGGGTACTATATTGGGGTCCCTTATTTTCGGAAACTCCTGTATCCTCAACCTCGGAAAAGAATAACTACCGCAGTGGCACGTTCCCAGGCCGAGGGGCGATCACAAATTTCACGGATGTCATTGGAAAGATTTCCCCGAAAGGCCTGCTTGACCCAATGGGTCACGCTTAGGGCTTAAAAAGGCTCGGTTTCTGGGTTTGTTTCTGGGGAGTCTCTGCAGAATCGAACAAGAATTGTTCAAGCCTTGGGGAGAAGAAGCTACGGTAACCAAGTGAACTACATTGAACGTTTCTCTTTGGCTTGGTCGACGAGAGATGGAGGCCTGCCAGACAAGCGTTGGGACGCCTACGAAAATATCAGCCCCAGAACTTGTTTCATGCAGGGGAAATACTACTACTGAGTCTACTGATTATTCCGACCTACTCTCCCTAAGTGGGCTCTAGAGCTTTTTTGGCAAACAGAACTTCTGACGCCTGTAGCTCGTGCCGCAGCTCTTGCCGGGTCAGGGACGCCGGCAAGGCTGATGACAAGGTGGAGCCAAGGGCCTGGGATTGGAGGACGGTCTAGGGTTTGGGCTTCAGGGTTTCGGGTTCGGGGTTTTGGGTTTAGGGACAATGGTGCTGCCAGCAGGAAGACGTAAAGCTTCCATAATCTGCCTGGACACCGTGAATATTTCATGAATTTACTCATTCATCTTATTCATTCCTTTCATCCAATTTTGAACTGATGCATACATCAATCGTCTTTCTGCTCGTTTACTGACCATTCCTGCTTGGTTCACATGTTTTGCATTGTGCTCATGATTGCCCATGTACGAAAGCGAACTAAGCAGAACAAAAGAGACCAAAACGACCACACGACACAGACACACACACACACACACACACCCGCGCACGCGCATGCACGAGTGGTTGCAGAATATTTTACCTGTACGGTTGTGTACGCATGTACACATGCACCTGTGTCTCGTACATAAACATGTGAAACTGCTTATGTACACATCTAACCACTTTTACGCATGTGTACCTTTGTTGGTAGTTGCATAAGCACTCGCTCCAGGCACATGAGATACACGCATGTACATCGAATGCACGCGTATGAGTGTGCGTTCCAGCATGTGTTCTGCATGCATGCGCATACACACGCACACAAAGGCATGTGCGTGCACGATGGGAAATCTGTGTGTATGTCAACTGTTCGTCTGTCTGCGCGTGCACATGCGCACGTGCATGTTTGTGCACTGTGTGCATGTGCATGCATGCAAACATGGCATGTATGAACATATGCACGGCCTGGAATGTATGGATCTATGTATAGGTTCATGGGTTTGCGCAGCACTGTCTCGCCAAGAAGCCATGGTCATGGCTCTCGCAGCCCGAAGGTGACGGAAGGAGCCAAAGCTTACCAGCTTTCCGAATGCGACTGAGGATGGGCTCTGAGAGTGGGAGTTGGGGCTTCTGAAGGAGGTCGTTACTTCTGTAGGGCGCTTCCTAAAGACCGCACGGGATGTGGCATTGCGTGCAAAGCTCGCATTGCTTGCGGGGACGACGAGGGAGCGATAGATCACTTGTTGACTGCATCTTTGCTCGACAGCTGCTTCGGTGTATCTGGCCACAGCGGCTGCGAAGGAGAAAGCTGCAGCCGTACCAAGGAGTCTTCAGATCATGGGCTACCAACATGGTCGAACACATGCGATTGTCTGCTTAAACCTTGCACCTCGAAGCTCGAAGCCCGAAAGCCCAGAAAGATAAACCCAGCTCAAACGCAGCACCATGAACTGCGGATCCTGTCGACCAGCAGGAGCAGTAGTAGTAGCAGTAGTAGTAGTAGTAGTAGTAGTAGTAGTGGTAGTCGTGGTGTTGGTGGTGGTAGTAGTGGTAGTAGTGGTAGCCGTGGTAGTAGTGGTAGTAGTGGTAGTAGTGGTAGTAGTGGTAGTCGTGGTAGTCGTGGTAGTAGTGGTAGTAGTGCTAGTGGTAGTAGTAGTGGTGGTAGTGGTAGCAGTGGTAGCAGTAGTAGTGGTGGTAGTAGTGGTAGCAGTGGTAGTAGTGGTAGTAGTAGTAGTAGTAGTAGTAGTGAGAACGATATAATAGCCAAAATAAAGCATCAGACCTCGTTCACATGAGCAAGGAGAGCCCCTTCCGCAAGGCTAGGTTTCCATATAGTGATATCGTATTATGGCGTAGATAGAAAAAGGTATATATATATATATATATGCATGTAGTAAAATATGGGACATATAGTACAACGAAATGTAAAAATCAGCGGAAACAGTATAAGTATAAGATGGTACAGTTTATAGTATAATGTAGTATAATATATTTTAATCTAGTACAATATAGTAAGTTCGTAAGGTACATTATAGAATAATAAGATAAAGTATGCTAAAGTCGAACATAGTAAAATTTGGTGAAATATATAACAATATACTATAACATCATGTGAATGTAGTACAATATGGTAGAATACAGAACAATAGAGTATAATCTGATGTAAGATACAGTAAAACATAGAAAACGTAAAACAATATAGTACGCCATAGTACATAGTATATTTACTAATAGTATACGACACTGTGTTACAGTGTCGTATAGTATAAAGCAGTATGATGCGACATAATATGCTAAATTTAGCATAACACAGTATGATATAGTATAATAAAGTATAATACGGCATTGTATAGTATAGTACTGCATAACATAGTATAATATAGTATACCATAGCCTAGTCTAATCTTGTTCAATATGGTACCATATAATGTAAGATAGTATGATAATGTAGCATAAAGTATAAAACCGTATCATAAAGTACAATATAGGATAACATAGTATAGTATAGTATAGTATAGCATAGCATAGCATAATACAACTTAATGTGTGTGTATAACATAACACAAGATAATACGATATGATGCTCGAGCTTCGGCATGCGAGTTCTAGCAGACTTACGCGCAAGCCTCGACGTGCCTCTGCAGACCTGACCAGTTTTTGTGCGGGCTTTAGAGCTCTACGGGGTTTCATTTAAAGGCTTAGGGTTGAAACAGGCTTTCTGGGGCTAGGGTTGCGGGGATCATCCAATTCGGTTGAGTCTGGCGGCTCCGACATCTTGCAGCGTCAGGTGCTCTTTCCAGATGTCTGCACGCGAGTCCTGTGAATCGGGCGTTGGATGTAGATCATACAAGGTTGTCGACGACGACAGCTACGACGTTACGAATAGGACGAGAACACCCGACGACCTCGACCAGGAAGAACATGAAAAAGAAGTACATGGAAGGAATAAGAAGCGAATTCGCCGGCGGCATCGAATCAACAACGGTTGGATGCTTCTGACGACGAGACCAGGACCACGACCGAATACCGGCCCTAAACCTGAATGCCTGAAACCCAAAATGGCAAACCCTAGACTCTGAACTCTTTTGTAGATAAGTCTCGCACCTCTAAGAAACAAGTCCTCTTGCCCAGCTGAAGCCCCATGCCCCAGTAGCTGCAGGCCAGTGCCCCGGAAGCATTTAAGGCTTCAGCACAGTTCAGGTTCCGACATAGGGCGTTGATTACATAACATGGCGGATATTCTACTAGAATTAGAATGTTGATAGGGACAAGGGAATCATATTGGTAAGGCTTTCACTGTTCATCTGAGGACCATAAGGATGGACAGAGCACGGTGGCATCATTCTTCCAGCGAGTCGCGCCGTGGGAACCATCGTCGTCGGGGCCTGTGCCCGATCTCTCCTCCAGAGCCTTCGTAACTCGGCCCTTTCAAACCGAGACGTTCTCTACCGACATCTGCGGGCCACTTCTGGGCCGCACCCGTGGAGCTCTTCCCTCGCACTTCTGTTGCGGTTTGAAAGCCTACATGACTGGAACTGAACTACGTAAGCTTCCTTCATCCATGTCTGCTTCTACTGCCGCTTGCTCTGAGTCTGGTTGATGCTGGTGGGGATGAGCCTTGAAATGCGAGGAATGGACTTTTCAAAACTGGATCATACGCGCCTTGGGGCTCACAGCTCCTTGTGGCTCCCGTTCTTCTCAATCTGCATGAAATGCACGGTGTCCGACGAGCCGTCCTGAACAAGGTTAGTGCTCGGCTGTGGATAGCCTGAGTAGCCTTTCTTCCAGGACCACCACTTCTTCTTCCAACGGCCGTAGTAAGTCGGTTCCGGCTCTTCTGTGGTCGTTGCTTCCGGTGTCTCCGTGGTCGTGGTGGGCGGCTGGGTGATAGGCCCCACCTTCACCATGTCTCCATAAGAAGTCAATGCAAGAGGGCCGAGCAAACGTCGCATGCCTTGGTAGCGTGCTTTGAAGCTGTGCAAGCACTTGCTGTTGTCCCAGGAAATGAAGCGCTTGGCGATAGCTTCCACCTCCTTGACAACCTTCTGGTCGTCAGAGACGTCCTTGAAGATCAGCTTGCCCAAGCTGCCGCCATCCGGGGCGGACTCAAGGTAGGCGACCGCGGCCGTCCCCGGAACCTTGCTGTTCACCCAGGTGTTAATGTGATCCGAGTGCTCTTGCACATCGCCACTCTTGCGAGAGACTGGGACGGAAGACTTGGAGGCCTCCAGCTGTGCTGCCTCCTTGCCAGTCATGGTTTCCCGAAGCCGCTTCTCCAGAGCCGCGTGGCCCGCAACTTCGAGAATAAGCTTACCCACAGGCTCCAGCACTTCCACAGCACTGGAGACCTGCGCCTCCTGCTCCTTTGACCTCAGCTCCGATTTGAGGCGCTGTGCGAGCATTGGCGCCTCTTGGCGCACACGCTCCGACCCACTCCTCTGCGCCTCAAGGTCTGTGATCACAGCCTGCGCTTCAGCATCGGAAAGGAAGTTGTCGATGACCTTGATGGAAGACAAGCACGACACATCCGGACTCGCAAGGGTCTGTGCGAGCAGAAGTGGCACCAAGAGCCAGGATGCAGCCATGTGTGAAGCCAACGCGAGGATTCCGAATAAAGCTTCTCAATGTCGGTCGAGCCGTAATGGCTTTGACTGTCAGTCTTGAGAACCATGTTAACGACCTTCAGACTTCTGAGCCTCAACCTTGGTTCCTTGGATCTTGAAGTACACAACCCTAAACCCGAAGCCCCGACAACAGTACTGACGGTAGGCCTTCTTCTCGTTCAGCTGCCTCTGGAGATCTGTGCGGATCGAGTCGCGAAGGCCTGGAAAGCTCGAAACTCCAAGTGCCATAGGTTAGGTACTGCCTCCATACAGTAAGAGTCTAGATGGGGCTGCTATTAAGGTCCTATATCTGGGTGGGGGCCGTACCCAAGCTGGCTCTGAACCCGCCATCCGGATACAAATCTCGGGTTTCGGGGAGAGGACTTCAACAAACTTCAGGAGTTTGGGAGCTTGGTGGCTTTAAAGGCTTTAAGGGTTTAGGAATTGGCCCCATGTGGGCATGAGGGCATGAGGACTTCAGTCTTACGGCAGTGGGAGCTCTGGCATTTTGAGCGCCGGGGCAAGGTCAGAAGAAGTACACGCTAGAAACGAAATGTGCAAATAACAGACTTATATTATACACGCACACGTATGTCGCTGTGTGCATACATACATATATAATCGCTGCCTTTTCGGCGAATGTCTATCCGACGGCTGTGGAAGCTGTGCTTCACTTTTGCGCTTGAGAGGCTCGGTTTGAGGCTTCCGGCTCTGGGGTTTGAACGTTGCGGGTCTCTGGGTCAACGTTTGGAGTTTCTTTTTCGAGGTTCATGGGTAGACATAAGTAGGGTGATAAGTCCCTAATACGGGTTATAATTATGTTATAAGGTCGAAGCTGGCGGGATTTGAGGACATGGATCGCGGGCTTGAGGCCGTTGGATTTTGGACGAGTTATGGCTTGGGGTTGCTGGGGCTTCGGGTCCCTGGGTGAAGTTGGCGTTCTGCAGTTTGTTGCGGAATTTGCATGTCAAGATGGGAGATTCAGTATAGACATCCTACTTCAATGCGGATAGCTCCAGCTCCATTCTAAAGAATCTACGGAACTCAGGGTGCGGGCTGAAATGCTGACTTTCGACATCGAAGGAAAAATCCAACTCTGAAACATGCCGACACTACGCTCAGAAGCCCTCTCAGCGAAGGAAACCTAAACCCTCAACCCTAGACCCTAAGCAAGCAAATTAGCACCGCAGTCTTGGAAGCTCATTGTAGCATTTTGGACCATACCGGGCAACAGCAATATAGGGGACTTAATAATAATTAGAGTAGGGTTTTGGGGCCCATTATACTACAATTAAAATAAGGAACCCCCAAAATAGTATTGGTAATTATTTAGGCCATTTTAGGCCCCTATAGTACACAAGAGCCGGTGTAAAGAAGCAGCTGGAGGCGGTAATGCTTTTATTGCTGGAACATCCTTCGCCATCTGAAGCAAGACATCTAGCATGTGGTTCAACACCTGACCTCGACAACAACCCATCGACTCCCAATGCCAACATTCCTCAAGTATGAAAACCACAGGATTTCTTGATAGGGTACGGGATTGGGGGCGCCTTATTATGAATCCTTATAAGCAGGATCCTACTATTTAGGGTACTATATTGGGGTCCCTTATTTTCGGAAACTCCTGTATCCTCAACCTCGGAAAAAAATAACTACCGCAGTGGCACGTTCCCAGGCCGAGGGGCGATCACAAATTTCACGGATGTCATTGGAAAGATTTCCCCGAAAGGCCTGCTTGACCCAATGGGTCACGCTTAGGGCTTAAAAAGGCTCGGTTTCTGGGTTTGTTTCTGGGGAGTCTCTGCAGAATCGAACAAGAATTGTTCAAGCCTTGGGGAGAAGAAGCTACGGTAACCAAGTGAACTACATTGAACGTTTCTCTTTGGCTTGGTCGACGAGAGATGGAGGCCTGCCAGACAAGCTTTGGGACGCCTACGAAAATATCAGCCCCAGAACTTGTTTCATGCAGGGGAAATACTACTACTGAGTCTACTGATTATTCCGACCTACTCTCCCTAAGTGGGCTCTAGAGCTTTTTTGGCAAACAGAACTTCTGACGCCTGTAGCTCGTGCCGCAGCTCTTGCCGGGTCAGGGACGCCGGCAAGGCTGATGACAAGGTGGAGCCAAGGGCCTGGGATTGGAGGATGGTCTAGGGTTTGGGCTTCAGGGTTTCGGGTTCGGGGTTTTGGGTTCAGGGACAATGGTGCTGCCAGCAGGAAGACGTAAAGCTTCCATAATCTGCCTGGACGCCGTGAATATTTCATGAATTTACTCATTCATCTTATTCATTCCTTTCATCCAATTTTGAACTGATGCATACATCAATCGTCTTTCTGCTCGTTTACTGACCATTCCTGCTTGGTTCACATGTTTTGCATTGTGCTCATGATTGCCCATGTACGAAAGCGAACTAAGCAGAACAAAAGAGACCAAAACGACCACACGACACAGACACACACACACACACACACACACACGCGCACGCGCATGCACGAGTGGTTGCAGAATATTTTACCTGTACGGTTGTGTACGCATGTACACATGCACCTGTGTCTGTGAAACTGCTTATGTACACATCTAACCACTTTTACGCATGTGTACCTTTGTTGGTAGTTGCATAAGCACTCGCTCCAGGCACATGAGATACACGTATGTACATCGAATGCACACGTATGAGTGTGCGTTCAGGCATGTGTTCTGCATGCATGCGCATACACACGCACACAAAGGCATGTGCGTGCACGATGGGAAATCTGTGTGTATGTTAACTGTTCGTCTGTCTGCGCGTGCACATGCGCACGCGCATGTTTGTGCACTGTGTGCATGTGCATGCATGCAAACATGGCATGTATGAACATATGCACGGCCTGGAATGTATGGATCTATGCATAGGTTCATGGGTTTGCGCGCAGCACTGTCTCGCCAAGAAGCCATGGTCATGGCTCTCGCAGCCCGAAGGTGACGGAAGGAGCCAAAGCTTACCAGCTTTCCGAATGCGACTGAGGATGGGCTCTGAGAGTGGGAGTTGGGGCTTCTGAAGGAGGTCGTTACTTCTGTAGGGCGCTTCCTAAAGACCGCACGGGATGTGGCATTGCGTGCAAAGCTCGCATTGCTTGCGGGGACGACGAGGGAGCGATAGATCACTTGTTGACTGCATCTTTGCTCGACAGCTGCTTCGGTGTATCTGGCCACAGCGGCTGCGAAGGAGAAAGCTGCAGCCGTACCAAGGAGTCTTCAGATCATGGGCTACCAACATGGTCGAACACGTGCAATTGTCTGCTTAAACCTTGCACCTCGAAGCTCGAAGCCCGAAAGCCCAGAAAGATAAACCTAGCTCAAACGCAGCACCATGAACTGCGGATCCTGTCGACACCAGGCAACCTGCGGACAGGAGACGGAACTGTCGGAGGTCAGTGCATTGTGGGTCAGTTCAGCATCGTCTCTGGGATTTACAGCATCATCATCCGGTAAATGCCACCCAGGGTGTCCGAAGCACTCCCAAATCTATTGCCTGACTATGCAGCCCTATTCCTGTACAAGTGTCATTGCTTATAGGTTCATGGGAAGTTATAAGTAGGGTTACAAGTCCTCTAATATGGGTTATAATTATAGTTACCCTACTTATTACCCCACTCAAGTGTGCTTTGCATCGCTTCCAGTGCCAGGCCGAGGATCGAAACCAGGCCTGTGATGCCATGCGACGATGCGTCGGCTGAGCCGCAAGCAGCTGCAGGCCTGCGCTGGCCTGGCATCTTCTTCAAAGGAAGTAAGAATTGGTCTGGGGTTTTGGGGGGTTAGGGTAGCAACAAGAAGAACAACGCGAACAGGAGCAATCAGAAAAAACATCAGAAAGACTAGCAGCAGCCAGGGCGGTCATGGAAGTCACGAGCGCCAATGCAGTCTGGCGTGGATTTGGAATCTGGAAGTCTTGGGTCACAGGTACGTGTTCTGCACTTTCTCGCTTCATAAGCGATGGGTGCTTTCTTGGGCTCGCCCGGGTTTGGAGATGGGTTCCGAGTTCAGGGTTTGTGGTTTATGGAAACCTAAACTCGAAACCCTTATATACACTCTGAGTAATGTCGGGAGGCAACTATAATCAACTATATGACGGACTGCATGACTAAAACAGATGTTGAACAATAACCCCAAGGAAACCTAAGGAACCTCAAAAAACCCTCAGGAACCCTTAAGGACTAGTATGGACCGACATGGACCGACTATCACGGCTGGCAAGCGAGGAAGCGACACATCCAGCGACCTGACAGATGATTCTTCGAACATGAAGGCATCTTAGGGTGATGGGGAAGGAGGCCTATGGGGTTCAGGGCTATAGGGTCATAGTCACAGGCGTTAGGGTCTATTGGGTTTAAGGATCTAGGGGTTCGGTGCAGATTGTTGTTTTGCGCTGGCCGCGTAATTCATAAGGATGGAAACCACAGCAACAGCATTTGCGAAGCCGAAAATTGAAATCAAAACTAGTGAGCAAAAAAACGATTGCTTGGCCTGGCCTCTCGATCACTCAAAAAGCACGCGCAATATGGTGACCGTGACAATACTCCAACGAAGGAACGTGATACACACCTCATGATGAGGACGCCGGTGTCAGTGACCATGGTCATGGTGAAACTAATCTTGATGCGCGGGGGGAAACTGCTGATGCCGCTCCTGTCGATGCCTGTATTCCTGGGTAACTAGTTTGCTTTAGCAGCAGTGCTATAAAAATGGTGGCGGCACTCGACGATGAAGTCATGATAACTACCATCGGTGACTTTGTCGCCATCTCTACCACCACGGATCTCCAAGAACGCATAGCCGAGCTCCCTTGCCAGGCATGATCCTCTGCACAAACCAAAACCCGGCAAAAAAGACTGGATTTACAGATCGCGATTCTGGGGTTCAAGTGTCGCCTGCCTCCCAGCTGAACAGCAATATCAGCAGTTCAAGCAAACGTCATGGCACATTCTACAAAATCATAATAGCA